AGTGCTTCAGGTACTGAGCCGCCGAGTTCTTTAATTTTCTACCTACTGATAAAGATGTTAAATTCATTTTATTAGGAAAAATAATACGTTAATATATTTTAAAGATAAAACAGCTTTGATCATCTGCACATTGCAATTCAAGTCATAGCTGCTGGTATCTTATACTAGGTGATGGCCTGATTGTAAGGATGATGTGCCCTCCTGAAAATTTAAGCTTCCATGAAACATGCTAGCAGCAAGTACTCCCCTTATAGACAAGATCTCTTCCTTAGAAACATTCTACTCTGTCAATTTCTAGTTCAAAAAGTTACTAGTTGAAAAGTTTGTCTATTTGAAAAAGTTATTTTTTTCTTTCCAATTCCAAGCTTAAATCTATTATATACAGCTAAAGTAATTATGGATCAAATAATAAGCCTTTCCCTAAAATTCATTGTAAACCACAGATAATTTATTGAGCATAGGGCAACATAATTTATAGTTTCATGCATTAACTTCTCATTCTTTGACATCACACATGGAGAGAAAATGTGGTTTCAGTTGTCACCAGGATACCACAAATTGAGTCAATCAACCAACTCAATCACCAGCTATTGGAATAGAATTTTAAAAAAAATAAAATGGTTGGAGGCAACATGCTAGACTAGTGAGGAAAAAATAAAATCCTTGTCCTCAAACAGCAGGCAATCTAGATCTATTCTGTTAACTTATGAGACTAAAAACATAGCATCCTTCTTTGATGACCCAATACCACGTCCCCCAAATTAGTGAATTACAAACATTTGAATAATCTAAAATTTTGACGGCTTATGGGGTGAGTTGCGTGCCATGAAGCCGGTAGAATTAATCAGTCCTTGAGGAGAGTTCAGACTCTTCCACAGCGTGCTTTGAAGAGCTTCGCCACCTAAAGTGTCATTTATATTCACTCCCCGTCTTTCCCCAGTACTCATCTTCCTCACTTATTTCCCCTGGTTTACTTTTTCTTGAAACAGCGCCACTGAGGGAGATGGGGAAGAGCGCCAACAGTTTTAGAAAGGATGTTACATTTTCTTCCCCAGAGATGAAGCAACGGTCATGGTGGAGGCGTGGCAGTGGGGTTATTTGAGAACTGTAACCTTACGACAGTTATACTCCTATCATCTCCACATACACAGTGTATTTTATTAGGGCTAATTTCCAAAGAGAGGGCTGGGCCAAAGGATGGGATCAGTATGACTTTAACATGAAGAGGCATAAGGATGACCAGATGACAGTTGGGGTCGGAGTATGGGGAAATATGGACAGAGCCTATGTTAGTGGAAGCTAAGGAGAAGTAATAACTTTGGAAGTGTTAGGATACTTTCTATGCTTTAGAAGCTTTCTGTTTTTCAAAATCTCCATTGTTTTTCCCCTCACAGGATTAAGTGTATGTTTAAGAAGGCCCTCTGAAAAGTTCTGTGTTTGATTTTGCGACACAATTTGCATGAGCGTCTGTGAAGTGAAAATATGAGTTAAGTAGTATCTAACACATAGGGCCAGCCCTATTTTACCCCACAGAATTGCTTTTGTGATAATCTACAAATGCCCTTGTTCTTTCTAAGCATCATTTTAATGAAGCACATAACCAAAGTAGCATAAACGTTTCAAAATACTAAGGGTACAATTCAATATTTTTGACTTCAAACAGTTCTTTTAATCATAGGATAAACATTGTTCTAAGAGAAAGGTCTTTTGCTATTCATGTGTTCATCTGCTTCTTTACACGCTTCCTAAAGCCATCATCCTTCTGTTAAGCACTTTTCTTCCTGTAGGGCTCCAAAACTAACAACTTAGCCCAATTAGTCAGTTGTATAACTCATGACACAAAGAGGAAAACAATTTCACAAGTCCATGTTACCTCTGCTACCAACAAAGCGTGTGTAACTGAAATCTGAATAAAGTCCTTCACTGTCGAAAATTTTATGATGTTTGCACAATCAGACCATTAATCTTGAAAAATTATCTTCGATGAAAGCAAAGAAATAATTATCAGCTATGTTGATTGGATATAATGGTATCCTTTCTAAAGGAAAACCAGCAAAATGAAAATCAAGTTTAAGATGTTTCAACCAGATCCTTTCCCTGATGATTTGATGTACCTCGCTTCTGACTATGCCCCACTCGAGCTGGATAAACAGTTTACGCTTAATGCATTTGCAGTCAGGTTCTCTCAACATGGCTAGTTATTAACAGCATTTACAGCAGTCTCTAATGGTAATTTTGATGTTTAGAAGTCAATAATTAGCTTCATTTTCATTTTATGTTTTCGTATCATCCAAAATTAGGTGTTTCTGGGACTTACTTGATCTTTTAATTACATAGAGATAGAAATTTCAGATTACACGACACAGAGGCTAAGGAATCAAAGAATGCCCCTCTTTGTTCCCCATCAAACCTAAGGCCAAGCGATATGCAGCTATTACAGCTGGTAATCCCAACCCCACCTGTCCACTGATTTAATTGACTGCCCCATCGTCTCCCTCTAATGAACATTAAGCTTCGGGAAGGCAAAGACCATATCAGCTTTTAGCATCTCTTTATACTGAGGTTAATATTAGCTTGCTCAGTATCCAGAATGATGAAGTACACGGGTTACCAAATGATGCTGACTTATATACAAATTCCGATATTTATTTCTTGGAAATTCCCCACATTGTCTCACTTTAGCATTATTTTGCATCAGATAAAGCAAAGCAAGAATAATCTTTATGAAATTGGCCTAGGATAGAAAACTAAGTGTTCACTTTTTAATATAGATAGTTTATCAGAGACTATTTAAATAAATCCCATGTACTACTTGAATAAAATGGAAATGTGTTTCTGTTATCAAAATGTGCGTTGTTTTAGTCACATTAGTAACTTGGTATTTTAGTGTACTCCTAACAAAAATCTCTTTATAATTTCAGTGATCTTCAAAATATTCTGGGAAAAGAAGCTACGTTTTATTTTTGTCTTCCTGAAGTTTAAAATGGAACTTTCTGTAATGGATTATGTTTTTCTTTTGTTGCTGAAGTCTTTGCATAACGATGCATGGAATTTTAACCTACTTAGTAAAATAACTTTTTTCTCCCTTCTCTAACGGCAGATTGTACATTTGTTAAAGGAAACCTAAAAAGAACATTCAGTTTACATTAAAAAATTTCAACAAATTCAGAATATACAAATAGTATAGATAGCACTAAATTAGACATGGATTAGACGTAGCATAACTGGAATTCAAATCCAGCTCTTCGACCAAACCCTTCACCATCGTGTGAGAGGAATCACTTAGCAGAGCTTCAGGGTTCACAAAAGTCAAAGCAGATAGAGAAAAACGCAAACAGACATCAACATAAAACATAAAGATGCATATCATATTGAGGGACAAGTGTTCTCTGCTGCTCAACGGGTGAGAACAAGATGGACTGCAGTGGCCTGTGACATTAGCAAATGCAGTGACAAGTTAATTGTCCAATCGGGTATTCATAAAACGCCTAAAATATGCAGCCACTGTTCCAGGTTCTGAGGAGAAAACAGCGAAGGCAAGAGATCCCGTCCTCACGGAGCTTGCACATTAATGCACTTCAAGGTCCTCTTGTTGAAATGAGAGGATAATTTCACAGCCTTAATAAAAGGATTAAGTGAGACTCCAAAAATGCGCATAGTCCGTTTCCAGTTCACACCTTTAATCATCCTTTCTAATTCTTCCCATACCTTTGATTTTGATGGCATGACATTATGCAGATTTATGTTAATCATTGAGTTCTAATTTCAGTTGCAGGGAAAATAACTGTCTTTGTTTACCGATGCAAAGTGGAAGGAGACGTAGAATAATGTTGAGAGAACTCAAAATAATTTCTCTGAAAAACTTTTAAGAAAGACTATGTATTTGTTAAGTGCATTATTTGAAACATAAAACACACGGGATGATCCCTCTGGAATCCGACTAGTGTATACACAGTAGACTAGAAAAATCATAAATCTGCATAGGCTTTTTATACTTTTATTAGATATTTACTATGCATTTTTAGCTGTTACATATATTTATATGCATATATATCTAACTATGTTAAAATTTGGGGCATTTTGGAAGCTGAGTACAATGCAAATGAGGATAAAAACACCTCCTTTTTGTTTACCAAAAGAAAAAAATGGGGTCCTAAGGAAAAGAAGTCACACGCTCAAGGTCGCAGAGCCAGTCAGCAGAAGACCTAGAAAACACTTGGTTACTCGAGTTTTACTCTGCTACTCTTTAGATTTTGCTTCAGGATTTAAACATGTGTGTGGCATGGTGGTGTTTGATCATATAAATTCCTTCTCGAAGATATTCGTTAAAATGAAAATATGCCTGGTATGCCAGCAGTAAGCACCTCCGGGGCAGAATTTAGACTTTAATGTGTAAATGCCTGAGTTTTAAAAGTTTTCTGCACTTTTCCTTCAAAGGGTACGGTCAGTGGCATGTGACATGTAGGCACACTGCATCGGGATGTCAGCACAAAGTTCGTAACTCAACATGCAAGAGTTTATTTTTACTGACACTGAAGTTAGGACTTAAGTTTTTGAAAAGATGAAACCAATGACTACCAAAAAAAAAAAAATAGCCTTCTTTTTAAAGTGATAAAGCAATGTGATGACAAAGAAGGCTAATATCTCTTAAGGTGACTTCTCCAGCAAAAAAACTTTCCAAAAGAGCGACACATATGCATTCTCAGAGCAGGAATACTGAGAGCAACAGAAACAATTACCCGCTCCCAGCTAGTCCTGTTTCACCATCTAAACCAGGAATTTAATATTTGGTAAAAAGTAAATTAGTACTAGTGATTGTACCCAGCAGAAATAAAGTTTCCTACATTTCTTTTAGGTAGTTTCTTTAGCTAATAATATTCTCATAAGATGAGAATAAAAATTGATTTATTTTATTTACCTATGAATAAACATTGCAATTTATTTCTTACAGATTCGCAAATGTTTATATTTTAGAGAATGTAAGTTTTGTCATCCAGAAAAAAATCCCAAAATTAATTAACAATTTTATTAATTTTTATAATAATTATATTAAATAATTATTAATTTAAATAATAATTAATAATTAAGAGAGCTGAGTGTTGGGAGAGGGCAGTCATTGGGGAAATAAGGAGGCCATTGTTTGCACTTACTCTTTTTAAAGGGTTTAATTTTCCTTTAAAGAAGCATCTGGCCGCAGGACATCTGGCTTCTTACCGGCTAAATTCAGCCTGTCATGCAATGGTGTGGTCGCTGAGGAAGTGGGCAATGGACCTGTGGGAAAGGTGTGATATGCACCTCCTCTTCCCAGAAAAGGCTGCACATACTTGACTCGAAGGAGTGGCCGAAGAGAAGGCTCTCATCACATCCTGGACCTCAGGAGAGCAGATACAAAACCTATGCGCTATATACTACATCATAGTTAATGTAAAACTACACCATATAGAATTTATATTACATTCTGTATGCTATACTTAACATGTATACTATACGTATAATCAGTATATCTATATATATCTGTATAGAGGGGCGCAGAGTAAACTAATGACTCTCTAGCGCTTATTTCTATCCCTGACGTCTCCCCTCAGCCTTAGATACATTCTCCCTAGACATCCCTAACTGAACGTGGCCACTACACAACCATTTGTTTCCATTTATATCCCAACCTTCCCCATTTTGGTAAATGGCTTTGCAATCTACCCAGCCATTCAGACTGAAAACTAGAATTCATCCTTGATTCTCCTTTTCGTCTCAGCTCCAATCCATCTATCTTCTCCATCAGTTCTACTTCCCAAATATATTTCCTGAGTCTGACTACTTACCTCCACCTCCACTGTTCTACGTCCGGACCACTAGCTCTCACCTCCATTAAGGAAACAACTTCCTGAGTTGTTTCTCTGCCTTTCTTTCGCCCCCTGCAATTCACCTTCCATCTGAAAACTAAGGGAAATAAAAGGATGGTGTTGCTTTTCTTAACCCTCCAATGGCTTCCTGTACCCACAGGAATAAACACCAACCTCCCTTCAGTGGTCTCCCAGCCCTGCATCATCTGGCCCCTGCCACTCTCTGATTGCTTCTCCCTCCACTTTCTTGTTTTTCAAACTGCCTTTGTTCCCTCACTTGAAGTGGCCAAGAGAATTTCCAATTGGCCCCTCTGCACTTGATGTTCTTTATACTTAGAATGCTCCCCTCCCAAATCAGTGCATGACTGCCTCCTTCGGTGCTCAGTTCCCAACCCAAAGGTCACCTCCTCAGACAACGCCTACCACTCCCTCTCCCCACATTTCTCTGCTTTGTCCTCAGTGTAGTATTCAACAGCACTTGAGTTTAGCTTATGTATCACCTTATTTGGTCCTGATCTTTCCCTTCTTTGGGGACAAGGACACTGACCTTCACACCACCATAGCTCCAGCTATAAAAACATCCTTCCCATAATAGGACTCCAATAAATATTTGCTGACTGTTTGCAATTTTTTAGGATCTGGTAGTATTCTTTATGGTATAAATTTTTAGACAGATACCTCTGACTTGAGTAAATCTTTGATTATTTTTTAATATAAACTTGAAAAATGATTTTATCATTTGCTATTTAAACTGCATATACCTGGAAAGGTACTGAGGTCTGTAGGACCTTGGTTCTCTTACTGGCTTTTGTTGGTGTCAATCTGACATAGAGGAAATCTGTAGTATTATATATGTTTATGTGTACCTTTCTCTGAAGTCTTAGTCATTGAGTTTGGGGATTTACTGGGACCTTGGAGGTCTCAAAAGTTAAAGGCAGAATCTCTTAGTGGTAGGCATTAAGGGTACATCTTCTACAAGAAATCTACTTCTATTTTTAGAAACAATGTTTCCCCTATTCACATAACTAATTTCCCTCCATCTCAGCGAAGATGAAAATGTTAGGTAGCAATATAATAACTAAAACAGGAAATTTATTGATAAAGCATCTGAATTGAATTTAGGCTAAGCAGAAAACACAGCAAGCATATCCTGGAATTTCCTGAGGCTAACAAATAGATGCATTTATTTGCTTATTCTAATTTCACATTCCTTCTCCAACAATAAAAATTGAACAGTAACACTGAAAAATAAGTTGTACACAATCAAAACTGTTGACATACATCACTCTGGAAAATATCAGCATGCAAGCTGTATCAAACTACACACATTTTTTAATTTAATGTTATATTAGTAGCTGAATTTTTTGTTTATTGGCAATGGAAAACGTGAGAAGAATATCATTCTACCCTCAAATAAGATGTTTAACACATTTTTCCCTCGAGGTTCCAAAATGATCTTCCCTTGGGTACAGGCTGACAAGTTCCTAAAATACATTCAAATTAAAATTGTCGTTTCAATAGATCTATTTCTATCCTGTGACTATTACAGAGCTGAATAACAAGCACAGCATGAAGGCTACGCATGTGAATCACTCATTATCGTCTGTGTTAGTGTTTCCAGAAGTGGAGGCCATTAGAATGGGGAAGCACTCATGTCTGCACTTTCTTACTGAACTGCAGACTAGAAGACGTAGATGGTGTCCTCCTTTGATCCACAGCATGGGAGGGGAAAGTCACAGGCTCCCAGCCTGATTGTTAATAGAGTTTTCAGAGATTCGAAAGCCTTTTAACACAGGCAGAGATTTCTAATATTCCATTTTTATTGTGGTGGTGTAAATAGTGCAACATTCAATATTTATCTAAATTATGGGGTTTTTTCCTTAAAAAAAAAACCACCTCATGACAGCATAGCAACTGTTGAGCTTTGTATGACTTCTACTGATTTCAGCAAATTCTGAAGACTGAATCCTATTATCTACAGAAACCCCAGGGCTCGTGCCAGAGTGACGTGCTTCTACTTCTTCTAAATTACCTCTAAGAGGCCATTTCCAGGAGCACTGTTTCAATTCAATTCAATTCAACATCTATTTTGTGGGCGAGGATAGGAATAGTAACTGGAAAGTGTATGTGAATTTTCACCATTTGGATAAAGGAAATGTATGTAGCTGTGTGACATAAAATAACCATAGGATGAAACAGGGGAGAACCATCACAAATCCTGAGGGCCCAGGATACAGAAGCAATAAGCAACGTTCTGGCAACATCAGTCCATTTTGATCTCTTTTTGCTTAAATAGAGCATCTAGAAACTCTTACTCAAAAAAGAAACTATGCTCTAATAAAGAGAATCGATTTTCAAATCATTATTTTAACATCTTTATTTTTCTCCTTGTTGATGCACCTTAATTATTATCAGTATTGATAAGTCTAGAGATGTAACGTACATCACAATGGCAACAGATCATCATACTGTACTGAATACTGGAAACTTGCTAAGAGAGTAGATTTCAGGTGCTCTCATCAAAAAAATGATAACTATGGGAGGAGATGATATGTTAATTAGCTTGACTGTAGTAATAATTTCACTATGTGTATGTATACAAATGATCATGTTGTACATCTTAAATACAGACAAATTTAACTAAAAAATAAAATTAAGAAATACATTGTCTGTCTTGATTGTATTTATTAATCAAAGCTTACCAGTTGCTTGTCTCTTTCAATGTATTATCTAGTACATGGTAATTGAAATAGTGATCAGATTTAATTCAGTGTATTCTTTTTTTTTTTTGGAAAAGCATACTAGATTTAATTCTGAAAACTCATGGGAGTCTTGCTTGCCTTTGCTGACAGTTGGTTTCTTTTTTTATTTTTTAAGGAAACATGGAGCTGCTCAATGGTTCCAAATGAGATTTAATGGTTCAGTTAAAAAAGGAATTCCAGTTTATCTTTATTTTTTTAATTGAAAAATTTGACATGTAACACTGTGTAAGTTTAAGGTACACAGCACGTTACTTTGGTAGACTTATATACTGTAATGTGATTGCTGATGTAATGATATTTATCATATTACATAATTATAGCACAATATTATAATTTATATTAATTACACTGTGTATTAGATCTTTATGACTTATTTACTACTCATTACAAGTTTCTACCCTTAAACATCGTCACTCTTATCCCCCATTCCCTGTTAAACACCAATTACTCTGTGTTTTTACAGTTTAACTTTTTTAGATTCTACATATGAGGTATCAAATAGTACTTCTCTTTCTCCATCTGACTTATGTCACTAAGCATAATGTGCTCAAGGTCCATCCATGTTGTCACAAATAGAAGGATATCCTCCTTTCTCATGGCTGAATATTGTGTATATATACCGCATCTTTTTTATCCATTCATCCCTTGATGGGCATTTGGGTTGTTAACATATCTTGGCTATTGTGACTAATGCTGTGATAAACAAGGGGATGCAAATATCTCGTCAGAATCCTGTTTTCATTTCCTTTGGGTATATACCCAAAGGTGGAGTTGCTGGATCACAAAATAACAAGGTAATCTATGGAATGGGAGAAAATGTTTGCAAACCATATGTCTCATAAAGAGTTAATATCTGACATACATAAAGAACTCATACAACTCAGTGGGAAAACAAAAAACAATCTGATTAAGAAATGGATAGAGGAACTGAATAGATATTTTTCCAAAGGAGACATTCAAATGGCCAACAGCTACATGAAAATCTGATCAACATCACATAATTATCAGGGAAATGCAAACCAACACCACAATTAGATATCACCTCACATCTATTAGAATGGCTTTCTTCAAAAACACTCAGTAGCATCAAAAAGAACTAAACATCTGAGACTATGAAAAGGTAAGCTATAGACTGAGATAAAATATTTGCAAATCACCTATCTGATAAAGGACTTATATCCAAAATATGTAAAGAACTATTGCAACTCTAAAAAGACAAAAAATCCAATTTAAGAATTGGCAAATTACTTAAATAGACATTTCACCAAAGGAGATATACAAATGGCTGCTATTGAGCAAAGATCCTCAACATCATTAATCGTTATGAAAATTCAAATTAAAACTATAGTGAGATACCACTACACATCCATTAGAATGGCTATAATCCAAAAGATTGACAATATCAAGTGTTGGCAAAGATGTGAAGAAACTGGCATCCTCATACATTGCTGACAGGAATGTAAAATGCTATAGTCACTTTGGAAAACAATCACAGTTTCTTGTAAAGTTAAAAATAAATTTACCAAACAGCCTAGCAATTACATAGTTAGGTATTTACCCAAGAGAAGTGAAATATATGCCCATGTCTGCACAAAGACTTGTGCATGAATGTTCATAGCAACATTATTCACAATAGTTAAAAGGTTGAAACACGTCAAACATCTATTAACTGATAAATGGATAAACAAAATGTGGTATATCCATACAATGGAATGCTATTTGGCAATAAAAAGGAATAAATTACTGATACATGCTACTAGATGAATAAACCTTGAAAACATTATTCTAAGTGAAAGAAGCCAGACACAAAGGACTGCATATTGTATGATTCCACTTATATGAAATTTCCAGAAAGGATAACTCTATAGAGCAGATCAGTAGCTGCTCAGGGTTGGTGTTGGAGTGGGGATTGACTGAAAATTGTCCTGAAGGAATTTTTGGGGATGATGGAAATATTCTAAAACTGAATTGTGGTGATGGTTTCACAACACTATAAGTTTGTCAAAAACCATTGAATCATACCCATTTGGTGAATTCTATGGTATGTACATTATCCCTCAATAAAGCTGTTAAAAAGGTTAAAAAAAACCCATAAGAGATAAGTGTTGGCCACAACGTGAATAAAAGAGAACCCCCGTGCACTGTTGGTTGGAATGGAAACTATGGAAAACAGTATGAAAGTTCCTCAAAAAATTAAAACTAGAACTACCATATGTCCCACAGTCCCACTGTGGGTATTTATCCAAAGGAAATAATAACAAGATATCAATATGTATCTGCACTCCCATGTTAACTGCAACATTATTCACAATAGGCAAGACATGGAAACAATCTAAGTGTCTATCAATAAATGAATGATAGGGAAAACGTGGTGTATATATACAATTGAATATTATTCAGCCATAAAAAAGAAGCAAAACCTGTCATTTGCAACATGGATGGACCTTGAAGACATTGTGCGAGTGAACTAAGTCTGACAGAGAAAGAAAAACATTGCATGATCTCACTTCCATGTGGAATCTAAAACATCAAATTCATAGAAACAGAGAGTAGAATGGTGGTTGCTATGGGCTCAGGGGTGGGCAAAATGGGAGGATGTTGTCAAAAGATACAAAGTTTCAGCTGAATATATTTTTTTAAGATGAATAATGTAAGATGAATAAATTCTGGGGATCTAATGTACAGCATGGTGACTACAGTTAACAATGCTGTATCGCATTCTTTAAAGTTGCAATGAAAGTAGGACTTTAATGTTCTCACTATAACGATGACGACAACAAAATGGTAATCATGTGAGGTGAAGGATGAGTTAACTAATCTTATTGTGGTAAACATTTCACAATATATACATGTATCAAATCATCACATTGTACATCTTAAACTTTCACAATGTTATGAATCAATTAGATCCCAATAAAGTGGGAAAAGAAAAGAAGAAATGAACCTCTATTTATTCTGTATTATTTAACATAAAGAGAATTTCAGTTTCTCATCTCGGTTAAGTAGCTGACTAGATGAGGGGTGGTAAGAAATGAGTAAGCATTAGATTGCAAGGTTTCAGGATATTTTGGTGGAGAGAATACACTTTGAAAAGTTTGTCCCCAACTCTCATTTTCAAAAATTACTTTTGGGGTATAATTGACAAGATGAAAATCAAAATTACAAATACCAGACATGATAAACCAAGAGCTACACAACCTTTTTTTCCCAATGTAACTGCAGAATTAATATTTTGAGTGAATCTGGAAATTTAAATAGCACAGTAGAAAAAAGAAGGAAATGTTGCAAATACAGTTAATCAAGAAATCTTTTTTTTTTTTTTTTTGCGAGGAGGATTGGCCCTGACCAAACGTCTGTTGCCAATATTCCTCTATTTTATGTGGCATGCTGTCACAGCGTAGCTTGACAAGTTGAGCTAGATCTGCACCCAGGATCCGAACCTCTGAACCTCGGGCCACTCAAGTGAAGTGCGCGAATTTAATCACTGTGCTACAGGGTCAGCCCGAAGAAATAAAAATTTTAATTTAGCGAAATTGTACAGAAAGATTATTTGAAATGCTAAATATTAGCATCTTATAATGAACTTTGTTTGGATCTTCAATGGTTTCTTAGACATGTAAATGAAAGAAATATAATTATTTAAAATAAACTTAATTAGGTATTACACCAGAAGGAAAAGATGGCCCCAGTTGAAGAAAAATATCCTAAAAGCAAGAAACAAATGTTGTGTCTTTTCCCAGAGTATATAAGATTTTATGCTGTTGATTTTTACTTCTTCAATTTGACTATTTAAAATAGCCTCTGAAAATCATTAACAAATTTACCATAGTAATTTTTTTTAAGTCACTGTTTAAATAAATGTAACTACTTTCTAAATTGCCATTACTTCCGCAGTTGCAGAATCTTGTTTAAAAGTAAACTATTACAACTACTCATTAATTAGTCTAAGAAAACTCAGATTGTACTGATTATTTCATTTTTCACTTTCCCCCATGAGAGCTTCAATGTATCTAGCTTAAAACGAACTTTTTTTTTGGCTTCATTTTGAGAACAGGAATATACACTCAGGGGACTGCTCAATATCATAAATTCAGAGAAAGTTTTGGGAAAAAAATTGATCTTCTTAGCAAATGCATCGTACACCCTGTCAAAACACTCCGCAAAATAAATGCGCCTTGTCGATTTATAATCCCAGATTATTTATGCTATGGTAGAGTTAAAAATCAAAAGATATGTGGAGGTTCATGATTAAACCTATCTTAAAATTAGGGTATTAAATAATCGGTTGCTGATTTGTTCTCTCAGCGGTAATGTACTAAATGGAGGAAGTAAAACATACATACATGTAGAGTTTCTTTTGACCCAGAGCACGTTATTTCCCTTCTACATGGCAACATGTGTCAACATAGTACTTTTCCTTCTTCTGACAGATTTCCTCATTCCCTACCATTGTCAGACCCGGTGTCTAAGACTTGTCATCATTTACACCTTATATATCACAGAATTAATGCAATACATTCTCTGCCTGGGATTCTGTTGTTGATTTAGCTGCTTGATGATTAGCCCTACAGCATGCTTGGAAATTAACCCATTATACTTTGGAAATTAAAGTGGATAACTTGATTGGAATTATGCAAGACTATAATGAGTCTTCCTTAATAAATGGACTGTCTAGAGAATGGACTGTCAACAGAACACAAATGCTGTTTGTGAAGAACAAGACCCCAATGACTTCACACTATTCTATCAAGGACCCCAAGGCTGATTCCAAGTGGATCAGAATTAATACAAGTAACTTAAACAGCTACTGATAAGTATCTTGTCATCTTCTCTGTTAGACTGTGGATCCCTTTGCCTTGCAAGGATGGTTAATTTTTGCCTCGGACACTGGGAACACCAGGTGAAGGGCAATTGCCTTGTTCCATTCTGAACAGTCTTTCTGCGAACAGGGTGTGTTGGTCCCTAGAAGGACTTCCCACCAGCGGTCTGTCCAGAGCTTGTTCATTATTTAAGAAGCAGTGCATGGCCTTTCCCCACGTTATTTCTATCCCCAAACACGTCGTCTTTTAGTCAAACTCTATGAAATTATTGATATTTGACCATTTTTACCTCAAAAATGATAATTTCATATGGTTCACCCTAATGTATTTCCAATGAACTCACCATCTTATTACCTGTTCCAGATAATCTTCCAGGTATCTGTTCCCGAAAGGGTCAAGAGATTTGAGATTATTTTGGAAAACTATTAGCCATAACAACAAGGACAAAATAAACTTACAATATATAAGAATGTGTATATGTGTGTGTGTGTGTGTGTGTGTGTGTAGAGTCCTCACAGCACGTGAAATATTGTAAAAATGTGGAAAGGGGACGAACACCACCATTTACAGCACTCCTATGAAGCGCCCAACTCCCATGTTGGGGCATTTCCCAGTTCCTTTCACTTCAGTCATATGACCCAAGTCAGGGATTATTGAACCCATTTTGGAAGCAAAATATGCTAAAAATTCAAATCACCAGATTAAAGCTACTCAGATTCTAACAGCATAGCCGGGTTTTACACTCTAGTCCATCTGTCTCCAAAACTCCCGTTGTTTCTAACACATCCACTGTGATTTATTTTACAACTTTGATATCACTTTATGAATAAAATTTCTGCAAGTCAATTCAGAATAGGGTCTTTGGGTTACTTACTTTGCCTTCACCACACGGTCTGGCCATAGCTTTGTTTAAGTGGCAGCACAGCATTTTGCCTTTTTCAGAGGTGTCATGAAATCAGTTAGGGAAGCTGTAAAACATAAATCATATTTCTGTTTATTCTACAACTGTATGAACTCTGGAATTTCTTTCACAAAAGACCCTAAAACCAAGTGTGAATGTCATCCTGTGCAGCGATGCAAAATACTGTGTAAGAATTGGTCACTAGAATCATGGTGCGTCTATGGAGGACGCGTGTCTGTGTGTGCATGGTGGGCGGTGGGGGATGGGGGGTTGTATTATTAAGGGAGACGAAGGAACACTATGATGTGAGGTCCTGATTCTCTACATATAGGGCTGTCTGGTCACTGATCCACAACAATTCATAGATTCACTAGCTCTCAGCTTTAACCTCCTTGTCCTTGGAGGGTTGTCACTCACTTTTTCTTTTACAACTGGGCAAATAAGTAGAAGCAAGGATTCTCGAGCGTCAAGAGACCTAACAGCAATCACTAGCCAACTCTGATTGTTGATAAAGTATATCTCAGAGGCAGGACGTTTCTTGCTAGAGACCAGCTTTCTGAGCACGTTCACGGTAGGAATTAAAGTTATTCCAGTCAAATGTGTGAATGTCCTACTACTCAATTTCCATGGGTTTTACAGGACACTAGCAACAGCCACAATAACAAAATGGCAGTTACAATTTATTGAACTCTGTAGTTTGTATGTGTTATTTATACTTACCACAAGCTTAGCAGAGAGATATCATTATCATGCTCATTTTATAAATGAGAAACCCGAGAACCAAACCGGTTAAGAAACTTGCCCAAGGTCACCATAGCAAAGGGTAGAGTGGGATTCCTATCTAGGTCTACTCCAATATCAGAGCTATTAATACCATAGTATGCTGACTGTTCTGGGTCTCTATTGCTGTGTGACAAACTACCCACCAACCAAGTGCCTGAAATAACAACAATAATTTATTTTACTTATAAGTCTGCAATTTGTGCTGAGTTGAGTAAGGGTAGTTCCTCTCCACTGTGTTAAGCGGGCAGCACATGTGGGACTGAGGGATCCACTTTCAAAATGGCTCACTCACATGGCTGATGTAATAGTGCAAGCTGTTGTCTTCTCTTCATGTAGGCATCTCTACAAGGTACCTGGGGATTTCTCACAGCATGCTGGCTGAGTTCTAAGAGTGTCCCAAGAGGACCAAGGGGAAACTGCAATGATTTTAATGGCTTAGCCCCATAGGACATATGCCTTCAGTTCACGTCTACCCCTGCTCAATAGGAGGGAGCACAGGTGTCGTCTTCCTGTGGAAGGATTGTCAGTCATATGGTAAGAAGAGTGTGAGTTGAGAGATATTGGGCCATCTATTTTTGAAGATACAATCTACTACACCTACTCATTTGCACGTTTGGAGAATCAGCAACCCACTAAGTAAATGTGTAGATCATGAGTTTTTATTTAAATAAATTTTACTTTTGCATGTCACAAATCAATTTACACTGCAGAAAATACAAGTGTATATATATAAAAGAAAGGAAACTAAAAAGTACTCTCAAATCTGCCCAGACACAATGCTATATACCTTTGGGTATTTTCTTTAAGTTCCTCTTCTGTATGCCTGGATATGTGCCTGGAAGACACATGCATATACTGGTATCATACACACACACACACAAAAAAAAACACATGCACACACAAATGTGCACACACATACATAGTTAAGTCACACTCTTTGTTTTTTTGGCTGAGGGAGATTCACCCTGAGCTAACATCCACTGCCAATCTTCCTCTTATTGTATGTGAGCTGCCACCACAGCATGGCTGCTAACAGATGAGTGGTGTAGGTCCATGCCCGGGAACTGAACCTGGGCTGCTGAGGTGGAGCACACCAAGCTTAACCACTGGGCCACGGGGGCTGGCCCTAAGTCACATTCTTGATCCTTAACCATTCTTCCCATCAGCCATCAAGGTCACACATATGAGGTCTACTGAGGTCCAGCCTTTACCCCTACATTTTAGGAACGGCCATCATAATCACTAACGATTGTAGGACATCATCTCCAGCAGAAAAGCCCAACCCTCTTTATTTACTTATGATTAATATCCTTCTTATCTTCCTGCCTTTACTATTAAACTCACAATCAGCACACCTGCTGATAGGAGGGGCCTTTGGATATAGCTGATTAATGTGACTGTACAGGCAAATATGGTATTTAACGAGGGATGTGAAATTGTAGTTCATTAATCAAATGGCTTGCTGCAGAGCATGCTAGTGTGCTACAATTAGACTGCTTGTGACCAGAATATTGGGTAGAAATTGTAATCAGGCAGTTGCACTATGGCTAAAGTTCATGGATAAAACAATACGAACACTCAGTGATTTAAGTAAATACTTCATTTTAGTACATTTAGGTCCAGCTACGTCCTAGAGAAAGTGTTGGTAAACTTTTTCTGTAAAGGATCAGACGTGAAGATTTTCAATTTTGAAGGTCATATGGTCTCTGTCACAATGACTCGCCTCAGTCACTATAGTGCAAAAGCAGCCATAGACAAAAAGTGAATCAATGAGTGTTGCCAGATTTGGTCCAGGGCCATACATAGTCTGTTGATTCCGGACTTAGAGTTATGCATAATTTAGGATGTTTTTAGCCAAGCAACACTAAACTCTGACTCATTTGCCCTAAACCACACAGAAGACTAACCATCTTGCATAATAATAAGTCCGGAGGAAGATCAGCCCCAGGTGGCTTATGCCCAGTAACGCCATGAAGGTCCAGGTTCTTTCCATAGTTCTTCTCTTCCATCTTCAGTATGCCAGTCTAGTTCACCTCATGGTTACAATATGGCTGCTGAGCGAGGTTCTGTGCATCACATGCAGACATAATGGCTTCTATCAAAAAGAGACAGATTAGGGGCCAGCCTGGTGGCGCAGTGGCTAAGTTCCTGCTCTCCGCATCGGCAGCCTAGGGTTCACGATTTTGGATCCCAGGCATGGACCCATACACCACTTATCAAGCCACGCTGTGGCAGGCATCCCACATATAAAGTAGGGGAAGTTGGGCACAGATGTTAGCTCAGGGCCAATCTTCTTCAAAAAAAGACAGATTCAATTCTCCCCCCATCCTCTTTTTTTTTGCCTTGTTTCTTTTTAATCCATGAAAAAACCTTTCCTAAGGGCTTTTCCCAGCTGTCTTCCTCTCTTTTCATACTGGTCAGAAGTGTGTTAGGTGTTGTTTTTAAACTAATGAAGGAAAATGAGATGACCATGATTAGCTTGGATTAGTGAGATTTCCCCTGTGTCACAACCAGGAGGGGTGGGTTTGCATATAGAATTCATATTTTTCTCTGAAAAAAGTTGCTACTTAAATTTGGGGTAAAAATTTTCATACAAAGGTAACAACATCCTTCCTTCATACTCAGTGGAGTACCGTTACACGAGAAAAAGATGACTCAGTAAAGAAGACTTCTGGGTTCTTGGTCAGGCTCTATCACGGCATTGCTGTGTGTTTTTGACTAAGTTCCATAACCTCTCTAGCCTTCAATTTTATCCTTATTTAAATGAAAAAGTTGGAATAAGTGAATTTTAAGCTCTGGACTTTTTTCTCCAATTTTAATCCCTCAGTGGTGGTGCTGGAAAGAATTACTCCTCTCAGCACTGGGTTGAGTCCCTACCGTCACACTTCGCACATTGAAGTGTAAACGTGAATGATGTTCATGGGCTGTTCTGCATCATCTCAGTGAGTTGCTTTAAGAAAAAGGCCATATCCCATTCACTGATAGATCCCCAGCGCCATAACTTGTGTCTTCCACAGCGTTGGCATCTAACAAGCATGTGTTAGTTTAAATTGTTCTTAATGTTTTATCATCAGGTTGTTTGTCGTGCTTCTCCTAAAACAGACAAACAAACATATTTTCTAGGTTCTGAGCTAAGACGCGAGATGGTAGGAAATTTATAAATGACTCAAAAACTAACTAGATTCATTTATATCGTGGTCTGGGCATGTGTGTACATATCACAGAATTTTAAGCCTTCAGCTTGTAATTTACTGTTAAAATTGGAAGATGTATTTACTTAGAACAACCTTTCTATGTTTCTGGAAAGTCTGCTACATTCACTGGTCTCTACTGCTCAGAATCCTCTAAGATTTCAACACAAACGTAATACTATAAATATTAAAGTATAAGAAAATCATACCACAGTACAGATTCTCAGTATACCCCTAGATGTTTCTAAGCAATGTCTGTTTCTGGTCAACTGCATGGTCCTGATTCTAGCCCAAGAAGTTAACCAGCATTTGCTGCCAATGATTAATCAGTGGTTCCATGTTTTAGCCCTAACCATTAAGCAGGATTAGTAATTGTCGCGGATGTAATAGACCTGCATACTTATCTAGCGTCATGCCCGTGTCACTTAATATATACATTTCCTCATAAAAATGCTTTTGTGAACAACATTTATGGAGAATGGGAAACATCACTTTTAAAGGAAAAATGCGAACACAAGTTTGGGGATCATGTCACTGTTGCATATCGCTCTCTGTTGACAGTTCCTCTTTATCAAAAATAAATGTAGTCAGTACAGTTATGACTTGCTAGTTGTTATGTGTGTACAAGTTGTTAGTTTTTAAACTAACTATTAATTTTCTAAAAAAGCAAAAATTTATAATAAATATTCTTTTGATTTGGCTTATTCCAACCTATAGTAATTTAATCTGAAACCCTATCTTCAACTTGTCTCTCAGGTTTATAAATTATATTTTTAAAAGTTTGAGACCATTTAGGGGCCAGTCTGGTGGCATAGAAGTTAAGTTTATGCACTCCACTTCGGCAACCTGGAGTTTGCCCTTTCGGATCCCTGGTGTGGACCTACACACTGCTTGTGAAGCCATGCTATGGCAGGCATCCCACATATAAAGTAGAGGAAGATGGGCACGGATGTTAGCTCAGGGCCAGTCTTCCTCAGCAAAAAGAGGAGGATTGGTGGCAGATGTTAGCTCAGGGCTAATCTTTCTCAAAAATAAAATTGCTTCCATTTATTATTTCAACACATATTCCTTAATGCTCAATGCTTGCAAGGAA